CTACCAAGCATGAGATTCTTTTCTAGGGACTGGGCTCTCCTGCTCACATGTCTGAAGTATGAAGGGGTACCCCACCCCACACCAAACTGGAATTGCACTGGGCGGGGCAGGGCTTTCGTAGTACGCATTTATCCCAATAGGTGAGCATCCAGCAACTCACTGTGTGTTAGTGCGCCCAGTGGCATCACCTGGGAAGGTTCTCTCTAGTCATAGTGAGCTTTTTCGTACAAGCAGTTTCACTCAGACCTTGTTTTTTGTGATGGCCAACTTAAGAGAAGAGTGTGTGGCTGTGAAATTTTGTCTCCACTTGGAAAAATGCCACAGAAGCTGTAGTGATGTTGAACACAGCTTACAAGGACAGCACTGTGGGAGAAACTCAAGTGTATGAGTGGTTTTCTTGTTTCAAAATTGGTGAAATGTCAATTTATGACAAATCTCATTCTGGACGTCCATTAAATTCCCCAAACAGACAAAAATGTGGACTCAGCAGACAGGGGACTGGTTTTACCACCATGACAACGTACCTGCTCACACAACCATCTCAGTGTGCAAGTTTTTGGCAAAAAGCAGCATGTCTCTCTTGCCCCACACATCTTACTCACCTGACCCCACTCCGTGTAACTTCTTTTTGTTTCCGTGAACCCAGAGGGACTTGAAAGGACAGTGACTTGACAATGTAGAAGAGGTGAAGAAAAAAACGAGGGAGGTGCTGTCAGCCATCCAACTGAAGAGTTTGAAAAATGTTCCCAAGAAGGGAATAGCAGATTTAACAAATGTATTAAGTGTAATGGAGAGTACTTTGAAGGTGATAAGGTTTTTTTGTATAAAATGTAAACACATAGCTTTGGAATAAAAAAATCATTTTTTAGGGGGGTTAACCCCTCCTTTGTGAGACCAAGTCTTGCCATTTTCACTTCTAATGATCATTCTGGCTGTGCTTCATCCAAGACAGACGTTTGTTCTTCTGGCAGTCCATGGTACATTCAATATTCCTCCCCAACGCTACAATTCAAATGTGTTGATTCTCCTCTGGTCGTCCTTAATCAATGTCCAACTCTCCCATGCACACAATGCACTTGAAAATACGATGGTTTCATGGTAACATGACTGTGTCAGGAGTCTCCGTAGGTTGGCAGTTCTGATGTACTAATACCCCATGATGAGATCTAGCAGAATGTAATCCTCAGAGGTGGGGGTTTTCTCCTGCTTCCAATAAAAGTAGACACTGTGGAAAAGCTCTCGTGTTTTCCATGAGATCTAACACAATGTAATCCTCAGTGGGTGGGGTGTCCTGCTTCCAATATAAGTAGACATGTGGAAACGCTTGCCTGTTTTATGCTGGGTCTGGATCCTACATCTGGCTCTTCATCTGACCTGAAAATCTTGACAGGCATCATCAACTTGCCATCTTACCTGTCAACCTTAGATTCATTCATTTCTACAGGAAGCAGCCTGCCCTCTGACTTGCCAGTCTTGGGTTTTCCCTACAGATACCAGAGGGAGAAGTCTCTAACCTAACCCCTGACACATGGACGTGGAACTTGGCCTTCTCTCTCTATAGACACATATGTGAGCTTCACTGTTTTTGCTTCTCTAGACCAGAGATTCTTAAACGATGGTTCACAAACCCATATGGGGGTCACATAACTGAATGTGGAAGGCAGGGGGGTGGGGTGGGGGTGTCACAAACAATTTGGCAACAGTAAATGGTTTCTGAATGCTAATTCAAAATTAATTCAAAATCAAATGAATCCGAGGTGTTTCTGGCCGCTCTGGTCCATGTTATATTGTGAGACTTCACTGTGGCCCGGATTCTGAACACATAGCATGTCCCATAGCCAAACAGAAGAAAGAAAAATAAGCAGTAGATGTAGATGCTGTGCTGTGCAATACTAGCAGAATCATTCATTCTATGGATATGTAAGTACACAAAGCCATGTTTAATTTGTATACTTACTTGATATACCTATATATCTGGGGTTGCATAAATATATCATGGGTAAAGAGTGGAAAATTTTTGAGAAGTCCTGCATATGTGTCAGAATTGATTTAACAGAAACGGGTGCTAGAAATAGAGGTGGAAATGTAAATGAGTGAGTTAAATAGAAAGCGTAGTTTGGGATAGAGGTCTTGGCTAGAGACAGATGTTGTGGTTGCTATGAGCTCGTGTTGTGTGTCCCGAACCAGGGCTACAGTGAAGTCTCATGATGCGACATGGCCAGGCGGCCAGGAGCACCTGAGTCATTACACACTTGATTTTGAATTACTTTTCGGTCACTGTGCATTCATAAACCTTTTACTGTTGTCAGAAATGTTTGCAAGCCCTGCATTCAGTTACGCGACTCCATCTGGGGGTGCAAACCACACTTTAAAAAGCTCTACTCTAGGGAAACCAGCCTAAAATACATGGTTTTGGTCAGGTGTACTTTAGTCCTCAAAATCAGACTTGTGCTTTTTCACACCTTAAAGAGATCTTGTGCACAGATTTGCCCAAAGCAATACCTTGTTTGATTTCTTGACTTCCGCTTCCAGCAGTGTTGATTGTGGGTCTGGGTAAAATGAAATTCCTGAGAACTTCAATCTTTTCTCCGGTTATGGTGATGCTGTGTATTGGTCCCGTCATGAGGATTTTTGTGTTCTCTACAGTGAGCTGTAATCCACACTGAAGTCTTCAGCCTTTGGTCTTCATCCTTCCTCTTCCTCTTCAGCAAGCAGGGCTGGTCATCTCTATGTGGCAGCTTGTCCATGCGCCTTCCTCGGTCGATCCGGATGCCCCCTCCTTTTCATCTAGTCCAGCTTCCTGAGTGATTGACTCGGCAGGCAAACTGAGTACGTATGGAGAAAGGATATATTCCTGAAAGTCAACGTTCCTGATTTTAAACTATTCCGTAGGCCTCGTTCTTTTTGAACCAATGCCTCCCACCCAGTCTGTGCATAAACTCTCTAAGAACGCAATGAAGAGTTCTGACATTCCTGTTCCTCTCAATGTTATCCATAGTCTTTATGATTAAATATGTTTGCTTAGTTTTTAAAAAAAGTAACCCTCATAAATAGACAGCATTAATAGATCTTGAAATGTCCCTTTGACAAGGAATGCCACGTCATTCTTCTTGAATTTGTCATTCTCGGCACAGGAAGCCATCTGATTCAAGACGGACAATACCAATCAATCCAGTGCAGCTCACTAATGCTTACGAGATGCATTCTGTTTCATTAGGTTTTACTTCAAAGTTTCCTAGATTCATGCTTCATACATTCCGTGTTCTGATGACTAATAGACATTTGCAGTTGTTTCTTCTCACCAGGAGTTGTGCCCAGCAGCAGATGGCATTAAGGTGGACTCTACTTTGAGGGAACAGTTCTTCCTCAGTCATATTCTGAGCGCGTTCCTAGCTGAGGGGCTCATTTTGTACTATATCAGACAGTAGCCCCTGCTATTCATAGGTTTCCTGCAACTAAACCCTGAGAGAACCCTAGGAATAGGGAAGCCTATTCCTTCTTCTTACTCTGGCTTAGCCTAGAAGTTCTGCTGAAACCTGTCCGCCATGGCTGACCTTGCTGGGGCTTGAAGTCCTGGCAGCGTAGCTTGCAGGGTCATAGCCATACACACGGCACCACGTTACAACAACCTGACGGGCAAGTGTGCAGTTTCCTGCATAGAAGGCAAGAGAATTCTACCATGGAATTACCACTGCTTCCTCTAGAAGACGTGAGCTATTGACCCGAGAAGACTATAGTGGGGAGAGGCCAGAGTGAGTAGACACAGCGATAGGAAAACCTGTCTCTGAGCGTCCCTCGATGACACCCTGAAATGTTTGCTTGTAGGACAGGAGACATATAATGAGGGCGGCCCTCCTGAAAACGTGGGCTGCATTTAAGTGGCAAAAAGGGAAAAAAAAAGAATGGAGGAGCAAACGGATAAGAGGAAAGCACGAGGCCGCGAAGTGGCAGGAGTCCGAGGGACGGTAATTGTCTGCCATTCCCCGGCCAGGCTTCCGGGACGGAAACAAATCCGAGGGTAGTAAGGTTCATTTGAATAAACACCGGACCTGAAAAGCCAGCTGCTTATTTCATGGGCAGTCTCTGAAAGTGGAACTCAATCGTGGGTCTCCTTTACAAAGGTAGCCTATCATGCTGGCACCCCAGGAGGCTTCTGGGGAGGCAGGAATGGGGCATGACCGTCGGAGCTGCCTCTGTCACGCTAGTACGGGGGCGTTTGTTTCTTCCAGGGGCCAGGGCTCTAATGCGCTCATGTAAGGACATGATTTATTTCCAACTCTGGGGCAGGCACGTCAATAGCAGAGCCTGCCAGCCATGATTCCCGAGCACAGTTACATTTGCCTCAGCTTGCACAGGCGTTTGTGGCCACCGCATACCACTCTCCCTCTCCTAGAACAATGAATTATGCATTGGTGCCTTGGTCCTTGGGTTCAAGGCACACGTCAAAAAATAAAATCAGAATTCATGCGAACTCCGGGGTGTGCTTTCCTGAAGGGGTGGGGGGGGGGGGCTCTGTGCTGGGCCAGGCCCACGGAAATATATGCAAGCAGATAAATATGCACCGTGTGCTCATGTTGGATGATTTTTGAATTTGATTATTTTTCCGCTCTTCATGCATTCTAAAAAGGGCTAACATTATTAGGAGAAAATAGCCATGGTAAAATTGGCTCTAAATATATTCTCACCACAACTGCGTAAAAGCTCTGCTAGTGCCGTTACCTATACAATAGTCCATCATAGTGTTTACAGCCCAGTTACGAGTCTCCTAATTCTTATCCCGCGTCTGACTGCTTTTGAGTCATGAAGACATTCAATACCCTAAAGAAGCTATTCCCCCTCACGGTCTCAAACCAGGCGTGCGAGGGGGGACTGCAAATGAGAGAGAGGGGCAAGGGGCAGTCCAATCATGGGTTTGGCAGTGATCCGCAGACAGAGAGGGGTGCATGTGTGGGGTGTACGGCTTTGTTGCTCTGTGGCCTGAACCACTCAATGGGCCCTACCTTGACAGATGGGCAGGTTCCCCCACGTTCCATCATCACGGCACAATGAAACCATGTTGTACAGGTCGGGGTAACGAATCTTGAATCCTTCGTGACAGGTGATGAGTAACTTCTCTCCGTGTCTGTAGGTCTTGTTGTGAATCTCGGCATCTTCAATTTGAGGGATACGGCAATCTGCAAATTGGTCGGGAGACAGATTATGAGGGTGCAAACCATTAAGAGCTATGCTACTAACGGACAGGTGGGCAATTGATTCTATTCCATCCAGAGGCATGGTGAAGGCAGGCCTGGCGAGTCATTTCCAAGAGGTCACCGTCTGCATGGGACCGTTGTGCTCTACACACATGGGGTCCCCACGAATCACTCCTCCAACAGCAACTGGTCATAAATTACCAGAATTTCAGATGGTTCGAGAGCTTCACTAGAAAGGTCGTACTGTCAGACCTGGTCTCAACCTGCACAGCAATCTGATCCAATGGTACCTTTGTTTATCAAAAGGCTCCCAGGTCCCAAGGAAAAGGAGTAGAGCCTGCTTCCCAGAAGGAGGTGGTTAGCAAGAGGGACCGGGAGGAGAAGGTGCAAGTACAATCATAAAAGGAACTTGGTTTTCTACCTGTGACACTTTACATAGTACACACGGTCTTCGGATGACTGTGGAAGTAAGAGAGAGAAGGCAAGGCCTATGGGTTAGCCTAGGCCTCAGTGACTATAGTGGGTCATATGTTGGGCTGCTAACTGCAAGGTTAGTAGTTTGAAACCACCAGCTGCTCCTTGGGAGAAAGATGAGGTTTTCTCCTCCCACAAAGAGTTACAGTCTTAAAAACCCACAGGGGCAGTTCTACCCTGTCCTATAGGCTTGTGATGTGTCAGAATCAACTTGATGGCAGTGAGCACCCATGGGCTACACACGTGGCTGTTTTTCTGGCCAGTGTACATCACTAGGCAGCCTGACTGGCTGGTCCTCACTGCAGCCCCAATCTGGCCCCTCTGCTTGTGAGGCCGGCCTGAGCCTGATAAGAAAATATGCTTTGCAGAACAGCAGGTGGGCTGAGCCGGGGTTGCCTTTGCGATTAGCATTTCCCATCCACCTTATCTGGTTTTGAAAAGATAAAAAAAATAGGGCAGCATATATGATTGCCAAAATCACAAAGGCTCAGGGCAAGCAGCTTGTCCTGCCTCCTGAAACTGGGGGAGAGCTGACTGCACGTGTCTGAGTGGAAGAGGCAAGGCTAGGGCTCTGAAGCAGGGTGTCGGAGGAGTCAAGAGCCTAGGTGGCAGGAAAATGGCCCAGAGAGGGACACATGAGAAGTATCCACTCCTAAACCCTGTCTACTTCCAACTTAGTGCACAGGCCACTCTATCCCTGCACCCCTGCCTGGCTGCCCTGCCTTCCCCTCAGAATCTCTGCCCTATGAACCCCATCTTGGTGTAAGTCACATTGACCACATGGTGCCTTTATTTCTTAAGGATACAACTCTATTTACTGTTTCTTGGTTTTATCAGTATATGCTTCTAAATTGCAGCTATTTATTCCCACTTCTAAGGGCGGGGCAGGATGTAGTGGTTATACATTGGACTGTGATCTGAAAGGTCAACAGTTCAAAACCACTGGCTGCCTCTCAGAATGAAGACAGGACTTTCTATTCCTGTTATTAGTTGCAGTCTCAGAAACTCACAGGGGCAGGTCTACCCTGTCCCATAGGGTTGCTTGGAGTCAGCACTGACGTGATGGCAGTGAGTTTGGAGTTTGAAGAGTTGAGAGTCCCTGGCTGGTATAATTGTAACAGGCTGGGCTGCTATTGGACAGGCTTGAGGGTGGAGTCCACCCCTAGGCACTTCAGAAGACAGGCCTGGCCACCTACTTCTGAAAAGTCAGCTGCTGAAATCCCCATGGAGTATGCCTCTACCCGGACACACATGCATCTCCGGGAGGCCTTTCCAACCGGACAGCAAGGGGCTTGGTTTGGGTTGGGGCTCAAGGTGTGTGGGTTCTTCGGAATGCAAGAGCAGTGCTTTGGCTATCACAGAAACGCAGTGGTCTAAAACACTGCAGGCTCTCCCACATCCAGTGTCTGCTGAGTGCACCGGATGATTGAAGCCCTCTGCAGGAACGCTGGCTTCCAGCTCCTGTAAGCTTGGAGCTGGTGAGGGGCAGGCAGGGAGTCTTGGGGATCCTGACTCAGAGGGCAGGAAGGGAAGGGAAGGAGCTGCCGGTGGGTGGGGACTTTGGTGAACAATAAGGTGAGGGTTACTGGGGAGCCACCAAGCCTCTACCAGCAATGGGTCCCAGACACAGGTAAGAAGGGCACTTCCCTGATGGCAGCATGTCTCAGTGGCTGGGAAGTGCAGGCTCCGTGGCCCCTGTGTGGGTCATCGGAAGTTAAATGGGTATAAACCCAGGTCAGCCATTCTCTCATTAGAGCCCTTGGGTGGTGCAAATGGCTAACACGTTCTGCAGCAAACTGAAAGACTGACCATGCAAGTCCATCCCGAGGCACCTCAGAAGAAAGGTCTGGTGCTCCGCTTCTGCAAAATCCAGCCATGGGAAGCCCCATGGGGCCCCGTTCTACTCTGACACACAGTTGTCGTCCTTGGTCAACATCGTCTTGACATCAACTGGTTTGGGTCTCCAGTGCTCAACTGAGGGCTTGGCCACCCAGACAGTAGGCTCATGCCCAGTGCCCTGTGCACACCTGGCACAAAGGGGCACATGGGAACACCTGAAGATCCTGCCAGCGTGCAGCCCCCGAGCACCCATGGAGCAGCTAAGCTCCCCTGAGGGATCCAATTCGCTGCCTCTAAGTTTCCACCAGAGGCTGGGCTGGGGACCTGCCTCGGGATGTCCATTTTACTTCTCTCTGTTGCCTTTCAGGCGATGGAAAGGGGTTTTCTACCTGTTTGGGTGGAACTGATAGTTTTTCTACTAGAGCAGCTAACATTCCCCGCCCCCGCCCCCCCAAATTAGTGGCAGCATTCGCCCACCTGGAGTCACAAGATACAAATTGACAGCTCTTTCCACACTGCTGCTGACTGCTTTCTAATGGCAAATGTGAAATTACTTTTTTTTTTTTGCCATGTCATCATCCTGCAGAAATTATTCACAGCAAATAAAACACATTTATCAAGGCATCCGCCTGTGAAATCGTGGCTGTAAATAGATCCACTGGCAGTAATCGATGTCTAAACAACTGTTTTCACGATTGACTTAAAAGTTGCTTAAGAGTTAACTGGTGTGTTCAGGAGATGGCATGCTCTGGAGAAAGGAGTGAGCAGGCAGAAAGACCTCGGCCTGTGGTGATGGCTGGCCAGGGCAGAAGCATGCTGGGCTTTGTTTCCAAGGGTGGGTTCCTAGCTCGGTGGCTGAGAATGGCAGAATGCTTAGACCTGGTCCTCAGGCCTCAGGTTCCCCAGGTAGAAGCGGGCTCTTGCAGTGCCTGCACACACAGGGCTTCGATGGAATTCACAGCCCCCACTTGGCCTTGATAACTCCAGGACATGTGGGCTTTGCTCCAAGAAGAGTCACCACAGGGAATGACCTTGGGCTAACTTACTGTGTGAGAGGAGCCACGTATAGACGGGGGTCAGACATTGGAATTTGAATCGTACCAAGACAGAGAGGACATGGCCAAATAGCCAAGGTTTGTGGTTGTGGCCCCAGAAGGGCCATGTTCTCAGAGTAGGGGCCGAACTAAGGTAACTCCCTCTCATCTAAGGGAGCCCTGCCGACACAAGAGGGAAGTGATTAGCTACTAATCAGGTTGGAGGTTCAAACCTGCTAGAGGCTCCCCGGGAGAAAAGCCCTTGCAATCTGCTCCCACAAAGCTTGGAGCCCAGGAAATCCTATGGGGATGGCTCTGTTCTGTCCTATAGGGTCACCACGTGCCAGCTGCTACTGGATAGCACAGACCAACAAAGCAACATCTTCAACTAAACTTAAACTTGACTCGAGAAAATATCACCCCAGCTGCACTTCCGGTTTTGACCTACAATGCCCAGCACCAAATCATCCCACGAAGAAAACTCGAGGTCTTAGTGCTCTCGCCCAGAAATTCCACTAAACGCATAAGGAAGAAATAACCCCTAGCCCCCAAATCACACCCACTGCCACTGAGCCCATTTCAATGCATAGGGCAGAGTAGGCGTGCCACTGTGGGCTTCTGAGACTGTAACTCTTTTTAAAAAAATTTTTTTTAAACATTTTATTTTATTTTTTTCTTTTTTAACATTTTATTAGGGGCTCATACAACTGTTATCCCAATCCATACACACATCAATTGTGTAAAGCACATTTGTACCTCGTTTCTCAAAACATTTTCTCTCCATTTAAACCCCCGACATTAGGTCCTCATTTTTCCCCTCCCTCCCCGCTCCCCCCTCCCGCATGAGCCCTTGATAGTTTATAAATGGGTATTTTGTCATATCTTGCCCTGTCCGACGTCTCCCTTCATCCACTTTTCGGTTGTCTGTCCCCCAGGGAGGGGCACACACAGTTCCATGTAATCAGTTCCCTCTTTCCTACCCATTCTCCCTTTACCCTCCCTGTTTTGCCACTCACACCACTGGTCCTGTAGGGCTCATCCGTCCTGGATTCCCTGTATTTTCAGTTCCTATCTGTACCAGTGTACCTCCTCTGGTCTAGCCAGTCTTGCAAGATAGAATTCGAGTCATGGTAGTGGGAGTGGGGAGGAAACATTTAGGAACTAGAGGAAGATTGTATTTCTCATCATTGTTACATCGCACCCTGACTGGCTCATCTCCTCCCCGAGACCCCTCTGCAAGGGGATCTCCAGTAGCCTACTAATGGGCTTTGGATCTCCACACTGTAACTCTTACAGAGGAGAAAGCCTCATCTTTCTCCTGCAGAGCAGCTGATGGGTTCTAACTGCTGACCTTGAAGGAAGCAGCTCAAAGAGTACCCCACTGTGCTGGGAGGGCTCTTTAAGGAAGAAAAAGCCCCAGTCTTATAAGAACTCTTCCAGAGAAGAGAAATGAGGGGCAACACCTTGCTTTCTGAGTGCAGCATAAGGTCGATTCATTTCATCAACACAGATGTAAAAACTTATCAATAAAATATTAGCAAACACAATCCAGCAAGAAATATAAATGGAGAAAACACCATAAGTAAATTGAGTTCATTTCAAGAAAGCTAGGTTAGTTCAACATTTGACAATCAA